CCCCCACCCCCACCCCACCGAAAAAGTTGCACTTGAGGCAGCTGTATCGCCCAAACCTCACGCCGCAGCTGGAGCAGGCCTCCGCCACCGGCTGCCGCGTCGCGCACAGCGCGCACACGACCTCGCTGACCTGGCGCATGGTCACGAGGCATGGGGGGGAGCGGGCCGGGGCGGGGGGTACGTGAGAGGCAGCGCCCGCTTGCAGACTGCAGGCAACGGCGGGGGCCCTCCATCCAAAGCAAAGAGAAGAGGCCTCCGGCCATTATCCCCTGCACAGAGAGGATGGGAAGGCACGAGAAACAGCGCTGCACCGGCGCAGCCAACCCTCCCGGAGCAGCGCGGGCGAGCAGGCATTGCATTCCCGAGCCGCGAGCCGGGGGCGGCGTTCAAGAAAGCCGCTCGGGGAAAGAGCGGCTGCGATGAGGCACATGTCGGCGCCCGCGCGCGCGAGAGCCCGCGGGCGCGTGGGCGCGCGTTGTACAGCCCAGCCACCTGCTTCCGGTCCAGCGCGTGCCGCTTAGCCAGGTCCTGTGGCAGGGGCAAGCGAAGGAGCAGCATTCAGCGGCCGCAGCTGCAGACGCCAGGGCGGCGCGCACATGTGCAAGTTTGGGGGATGTGCGGCGCCCGGCGGCCGCCACGGCGGCTCGCTGCGACCCTTTGCGGCGCGCGTGCCGCCGTGCCTTCCCTCCACCCACTCCCCTCCTGACAATGAACGCCGAACAGGACGCGTTCCCTACTCGGGTGCGCAACGCACACAACAACCACCACAACAACCCCCAAAACCACCACCACCACCACCACCACCACCACCACCACCACCACCACCACCACCACAATAGCAACCACCCGACCAAAATGAAAAAAACTCCACCTGCTCTCCGTCGTCCTTTGCAGCGTTGTGGCAGTGGCGGCACCAGAAAACCTCCCCACAGCAGGGCGAGACGAGGCGGCAGCGCCGCTGGTAGTGGGAGCCTGGGGGGGCGCAGTGGGGGCGTCGGCGCGCGCCCGGGACAGGGGGAGAGGGAAGGGGCGTTGCCGGGTTCCTGATCACTGGCGCTGTCTAGGCAGCGGCATGTTCAAATTAGCTCTGCTGTGCGCTATGCAGTCTGCCTCCACTGCAGCGGCTGCCACCAACTGCTCAAGCAGCTGCTCCATAACCAAAGGAACCGAAGGAACGATTGCAAACCCCGCCAGCGAGCCAAACCCCCAGCGTGCCCCGATTCTGCACTTCCTCAGCATGCGTACGCGTGCGCATGCACACTGCGGGGGGACGGCAAGCGCGCGCACAAGCCGCGCGCAGAAGCCGCGCCTGCTCACATCCGTGCTTGCCCAGGCCGGCGTCTGCCACCGGGTCCTCCACCACCCAGGACGCAGGGCCGTCGCCCTCCTCCTCCTCCTCCTCCTCCTCCTCTTCCTCCTCCTCCTCGTCCTCCTCTTCCTCCTCCTCATCATCATCTTCGTCGTCTTCGTGGTGATGGTGCTGGTGTTGGATGGCGTTGCCATCATCGTTGCCGCCGCCGTCGCTGCCGCCGCCGTCTGCCTCTGCGCCGGCGCCCTCGCTATGCTCTAGGGCATCCTGGAACGCGGCGTCCTCGTCCTCGTCCCGCTGCTCCTCCTCGCCGCCGCTGGGACCGCTGCCGTGCTGCGCCACGGCGGCGGCGTCGAGCTGTGCTGCGTCGCCTGGTGCGTGTGCTGCCGCTGCTGCGCCCGCGCCCGCTGCCGCAGGGCCGTCCGTTTCGACTACCTGGGGCCCGTTAGTGTTCTGCTGCGCGTCCATGAAGTCCAGGCGCGTCAAAATGGCAGATCAAGAGTGGCGTAAGCAGCGGGTATGGACTAAAAGCACACATGTACCGTTTGCTAAGATGTGTGAAGCAAAGATAACAGTCCTGCTGAGCATGTCCAAGACTACAGCGGAGTGCAGCAGGGTGGGGTGGCATCGCACAGGCGGGCGCGCTGGTGCAGCTCTGAAGCTCAGTGTGTGCGCTGTGCACGCTGTGTTCACCGCAGTGCCGTACATAATTATGCATGTGCATGCGTGCACAAAGCCCGCGCGCCTTTGCTGGTATATCATACATGTCATCACATGCATCAGCAGTACTGCGTCGCTTCCCAATGCCCTGGTAGCCCAAACAGCACCTGGCAGCACGCGGCACTGCAATTGCGCCTGCGCCCACGCGGCACGAGGCGTGGCAACACGGTCGGCTGCAAATGGTGTGAGGGGTATGCTGGTGCCATAGTTTTTCCCGCCTGGCGTACAGGGGGAGATATGAGGGGGACCGAGCCTGGACGGTGCACGGCGGCCAGAGGACAGTAGGAGGGGCGCAGTGCGGTGCCGCCGGCCGCGCGTCACCCTGGAGTTGCTCCTGCCTACAAGCGGAGCCACCACTGCGGCGGGAGCTGATTCACATCACGCCCTGCGCGGCGGACTGCCTGCGCACCTGGCATCGGCCGTTCCTTTGGGGTTTCTTCTGGCAAAATCGTGTGTCAAGCGCCAAACTGTTTCAGGCCGTCGGTGGTCGTTACGCGTGCAACAGAGATACGCCGGCCGGTCGCTCAGAGGAGGGGGACCCGTCAGGGTCGCTGCAAGAGGGGCGGAGCACAGCGGCGTGCAGGAAACCCTGATGCCCCTGCGCTGCGTCCACGTCACCATCTGCTGCAGGGTGTGGGGAAGCCACGTGGATAGGGATCGCCCGCCCCTGGCGAACCCACAGACGCCTTGATGCTCTGATTTTGCGTATGCACGCGTGCAGTCGCATACTATGCTGTGCAGTGAGAGCAGCTCGAGCTGATGTGTCCAGGTGGCATCCGCAGCGGCGCTCGGCGGGGCGCCTTCCAGGGCGGGTGAGCTAGATTCCTTTGCCTGGTTCCTTGCACGACCGCCTTTTCTACAGCGTCGCTCGTGCACTCTGCTGTTCCAACGGGCACGACTGGAACGGGGCGCGGAGTGCGGACACCAGATACTGTACCCACAATGGCGCAGGCCCTGTGCTCCGGCCTCTGCAGCGCGCTGTCCAAACAAAACGTGCTTTTGTACTCACGGCCTGTGGCTGCAAGCCGCGGCCCGGCGCTCGCAGGCGCCGCCCCGCCGCTCGCCGCCGCTGTGCCACCCGCCGGCCGCCGGAGCGGAGCAGTTGCGGCGCGGGCGGCGCGCGGCGGCAACCTGCTGGACAGCGACACGTCCACCTCCCTGGGCAAGAGGTGCGCACGGGCTCCCACGCGCCACGGCCCGCTGCGCCGCGCCGCGCCCCGCCGCACGTCCCAAGCGCGTCTGCGC